AGAGTGAGCCAGGTATTAAGAATGACAAACTTCCTATCAGACCTGAACCACCAATTTTGGGGGCTAATAGGTAAAATGAATGAACTTCAGTCCTTTTTACACTATAATATTTCTTTGTTATGGCAGCTTTAGACTGAAACTAACATAAATTGGTACAAAAATTAAACAGTATGAGAACTAATGATTCCTCTGCCGTGTGTGATGAGAGTAAGGACTGTGCCAGAGGTCTCCTATGCTGGCTGTATGCCAGGATGAACTGAGGAGCCCTGATGTTATGCTTGAGAGCTATTAGGTCATTGTCTCATTTTCCTGAGCTAATCAGTGAGCTTTTGTACAAATAAGGGAGGCTAAGGATGCCTCAAGAAGCTAGAAAGAAATAGGAGGAAACATTAGGGGAGAAAGGTTAAAAGGTGTATTTAAGATATTTTGCAGAAAAGTATGTCCAAAGTTATCACTACTCCATCTCTACTAGATTTTCTTAACTCAACATTATTTATATTTTTGGAGCTGGATTTGAATTTTTGGAGGGAGTAACGATAAGATGAAATGAACCTGGAGGGGGTAGCAGAAGCCCAGGAGGGTTATGGTACATCCAATCCTAATAGGAATAAAGAGTAAGAGAGCACTAGAGGCCTAAATTATTAAAACTGTTGCCTTCAAGGCAGAGAGAGGGGAAAAGGATGAATAAAGAAGGCTGAAGTCAGCGAGAACACATGTGACATTACTATTTTGGATATAGCAGGACTCATTTACTTTCCACCAATGTCAGGATGATGTTATGGATTAATTTTGCCTTTTCACATTATAAAATTGTTTATGATAAAAGGCAAAGTTTCTTTGCTTGAGTTGTGAGCATTTTTAACATTAAAGACTTGGTTATAAAGGCACTGCAGTTGAGAATCAAGGACTAGGTCAGATCACCTGACTCAGGCCATCTACACTAATAAAAGAGAAACATGGTAATTGGCGTACGACCGCTACCCTTCCCATTGGCTAATCAGCGAGATATGCAAATTAACTGGCAGCCAAGATGGCGGCCGGCAGCCAGGCAGCTGATGTGAACAGGGAGGCTTGCTTGCTTCAGTGACGGAGGACTCCAATGTTCCCCGCCTGACTTGCCGGCCTCTCAGCTGCAACTCTAAGTAACTATGTTGCGAATAAAGAAGCTAAAAAACCCCCAGAAACCTGCTTTACTCAGCGGGGCTTCAGCCAGCCGGACCGCAACATTGTATCAAATACAGACGGTAAACAAAGGCCAGAAACCTGTTTTCAGCAGCCGAGGCCTCAGAGCTAAAGCTGGCCCAGAATAAAAAAAAGAAAAAAAAAGAAAAAAAGGAGCGGTTGGGAGCTTCAGTCCCAGCCTGAAAACAGCCCTCAGCCCCTCACCCAGACTGGCCAGGCACCCCAGTGGGGAACCCCCACCCTGAAGGGTGTGTGACCAGCTGCAAACAGCCATCATCCCCTCACCCAGGCTGGCCAGGCACCCCAGTGGGGACCCCCACCCTGATCCAGGACACCCTTCAGGGCAAACCAGCCAGCCCCACCCATGCACCAGGCCTCTACCCTATATAGTAAAAGGGTAATATGCCTCCCAGAACCGGGATCAGCATGACAGGGGGCAGTGCCCAAACCCCCTGATCGCCCTGCAGCTCTGTGTGTGACAGGGGGCGGGGCCCCAACCCCTCCCCCCCCGCCCCCCTCGGGCCCTGCTCTGTGTGTGACGGGATAGAGCTATAACCTCCCCATTGGCCCTGCCCTGAGTGTGACAGTGGCGGCGCCCCAACCCCCTGATCAGCCCTGCTCTGTGGGTGATAGAGGGCGGCGCCCCAACCCCCCCCCGACCCCCCGACAGGCCCTGCTCTGTGTGTGATGGGGTAGAGTCATAGCCTCCCCATCTGCCCTGCCCTGAGTGTGACAGTGGTGGCGCCCCAATCTCCTTATCCTCCCTGCCCTGAGTGTGACAGGGGACGGTGCCCCAACTCCCCTATTGGCCCTACTCTGTGAGTGACAGGGGGGAGCTCCTCAATCCCCTGACCGGCCCTGCTCTGTGCATGACAGGGGGGAGCTCCCCAACCCCCACTGACCCTGCTCTGTGCATGACAGGGTATGGAGCCCCAACCCCCCTGATGGGCCCTGCTCTGTGCGTGACAGGAGGCAGCGCCCCAACCCTCTGATTGGCCCTGCTCTGTGCATGACAGGGGGTGGCGCCGCAACCTCCCCATCGACCCTGCCTTGAGTGTGATGGGGGGCGGTGCCCCAACCCCCCAATCAGCCCTGCTCTGAGCCCGACCAGGGGCTGCACCTAGGGATTGGGCCTGCCCTCTGCCACCCGGGAGCAGGCCTAAGCCAGCAGGTCGTTATCTCCTGAGGGTCCCAGACTGCGAGAGGGCACAGGCCGGGATGAGGGACCCCCCCTCCCCCCGAGTGCACAAATTTTTGTGACCGGGCCTCTAGTATTTCTAATAATAGGTTGCTGCTCTAAACAGGCCATGACGTGGAAGCTACCAATGTAAAGTCTTATAAAGTGACTTTTAAAATCTGAGGTCCACAAACTTGTTTTCAAAAAGCTGTGCCTCTCACAAATATTACCTTATCCAAACAGGGTACTCTCCAGTGTAGCTAAGTTCACTGCAGGAATCTGCATTCACTGCATATCCCATTACCTAGGGCACAAGCTTCCCCCTGTGATGGATGTGGAGATACATGACCCAGATCCCCCTTCAGGGAAGGACCAAGAGCCCCAGGTGTCAGCAGCCAGCCTCCAGCCAACCATCCCCGCAGGGTCTGCCTCAGCTGCAGGGAGCTGTCCTACCCTCAGGCAAGCCCTCATGTGGCCCACGTCCAAAGACTGAGATAAGTGGGGCCAATGTGTGCCACTCTCACAGGCCCATAAGCTCTCTGCAGGGTTGGCTGAGGCTTTGCCAATCCCTCCCAGCCCCAGCCTGCTTCCTGCCCCTCCTTTCCTGATAACTGATCCCAATAAAGACCCTGCATGACAAGCCCCATCTCAGTGTCTGCTTCCAGAGAACCAACCCAGCAGGGATGTTTGGGAGCCAAGAGTGATCTTGGAAAGCTTGTAAGAAGACGGCCCATTCGCCACCTGTCTGGCCACGAGGATGTCTGTTTCTTAGTCTAGAGCTGTGGTCGGCAAACTGCGGCTCTCGAACCACATGTGGCTCTTTGGCCCCTTGAGTGTGGCTCTTCCTAAGCCTTAGGAGTACCCTAATTAAGTTAATAACAATGTACCTACCTATATAGTTTAAGTTTAAAAAATTTGGCTCTCAAAAGAAATTTCAATCGTTGTACTGTTGATATTTGGCTCTGTTGACTAATGAGTTTGCCGACCACTGGTCTAGAACAGTGGTTCTCAACCTTGGCTGCACATTAGAATCACCTGGGAATCTTTTTAAAATCCTGATTTCTGGGCCTCATCCTCCAGAAATTCTGTTTCTTTGTTATGGGGTGGGGCCACAGCATTAGTAACAAAGAAACAGAATTTTTGGAGGATGAGGCCCAGAAATCAGGATTCTAAAAAGATTCCCAGGTGATTCTAATGTGCAGCCAAGGTTGAGAACCACTGGTCTAGAGAGAGTTCAGGTGATCTGGTTAAGCCAAGGCTCAGCAAAGTCTCCATTTACATTTCATCTGGCCACCTGGCCACGCCAGCTGTGCGGTTCCGTTGGCAGTTCGGGAAAGGCCTCCTGGGCCAGTGAAAGGACCTGCTCAGCAGCGTGTTCTCCATCCTTGGAATGAACCAGATTTGACACCAAGCCAACCTCTGAACCCAACACGCGTCAACATTTTATGAGAAGCATGTTTTGTTTATTTTTCAGTTGATTGTATGCTTTTGGCTTGTTTTTGCTTTTATTTATTTACTAGAGGCCCGATGCATGAAATTGGTGCAAGGGACTCGGCCCTCGCAGCCCCGGCTTTGTCCAGAAGGTCATTCCGCTGTTCAGCTGTCTGGTCTAATTAGCATATTACGCTTTTATTACTATAGATATTCCTGTTTCTGCATTTATCCCTGGAAGCAATCGGCAAGAAAGTGATGTATTTTAAGATTAAGTAAAGTCTTAGTGTTTTTACTCACAGTCTACAGTTTTAAAAAGGAGCCGTCTTATTTTAGTGCTGAATAGATGACTTACCAAGGGGTTGTGAAAAGAGTAAAATTAACATCATCAATAAACAGAACCGAAGTCATGGCCATTGTTTCTCATGCAAACAAACAAATTCAAAATTATCTCCTGGCTTTGACCATCCTCCCTTCAGCAAGAGCACAGAGCAAAATTGAAAGTATGTGAAAAGATGATTTAAACCTCACTTCCTCAGGAGAGCCTTCTCTGACCTTCTCAGACCAGGCTCCATCTCTCTGCTTTCCTAGCAGTTTGTACTGTCCCTTTGAAGCCCATTCCACGAAGTCCCCACATTTTGAAATCCATTATCTCCACAAAATTCTGTTAATAACTGTTATTATCAGTTATTGTGGTGAGGGGCTGAGGCCAGAAAGAATCCTTTTAGCTTCCTGGAAATGAGGCCAAGGAAATAGCCTTCTTTCATGTGAGATAGTGTAGTGAGCTCCACAGTAACCCCAAAAGATTAGGTTCAAGTCCTAACCCCCCATACCGGTGACTGTGACCTCATTTGGGAAAAGGGTCTTTGCAGATGTCACTGAAGTTCTCGAGATGACCTCTTCCTGGGTTTAGGTGGGCCCTAAATTCAGAAGCTGCTGTCTTATAAGAGAGAGAAGAGGGAGATCTGAGAGGCAGGGTGAAGGCCAGGTGAAGACTGAGGTGAAGACAAGCCAAGGAACTAGGAGAGGCCTGGGACAGATTCTTCTCCAGAGCTTTCAGAAGGCACCACCCCAGCTAACATGTTCATTTAGGATTCCTGGCCTCCAGAACTGTGAAACAATGAATTTCTGTTGTGTTAAGACACCCAGTTTGCAGCTATTTGTTACAGCACCTACAGGAGACTAATACAGACAGAAAACAGCTACCTACTTTCACGGTGCCACAGGCTCCCCAGCAGCTGGGCGGAGCTTGGATTCCGGGCAGAGCCCAGTGCGCTGTGAAGAGCCTGCGTGTTGATGTAGCAGGGGTCGTCGAAGAGATCCACTCGACACGTGTGCTTCATTAACGCCGTGTCCCTTTGGGACGGCACTGCTCTCTCGTGGGCATTACCTGTAGTGATTAGTTGAGATCAGTGAGTCATGTTCTGCTTTGCAAACAATAAATGAAATCATATTTGAGTCTAGAATTGATAGGAAGCCAAAAGCCACCCTCATCCCTTACAAGGATTGAATATTGACCTATAGAAATAAGATAAGCTCTGGTCTTTGAGGAAAAGCTCCCTCTCATTCGTCTCCCTGCCCCACGGCTTCAAACAGACAGAAAAGGAGCAGGAAGATTCCGAAGAACAGCCAGGCAGGAAAAGGGCCGACTGTCCAGCAAACAGACCAACCGGCAGACAACAGTGCTCAGAGCTGCAGTCCAGAACGAAGAAAACACACGTGCCACATGGAACCTGAAGACCAATTATTCAAACTCCTTTTCAAAAAACTCATTCCTTGCTTTAAAATTATTTAGAGTGGGAAGCCTCTCTTCTCTCTATGCTCAGTTTTGTTCTGCCCAGCTCAGCCTTGCAGCAAGGACTGGTGTTTCCGCTGTTTTTTATCAGAAAGGACTCACCCCTCAGGCCAGTTCCTCCACTCCCCTGACTATCTCCTCCACCTCCCTGACTCCATCCTCTCCTCTCCATTCTATTCTGCACATTATGGCCAAAATGACCTTTTTAGAAGGTCACTGAAAATCTCATCGTATTTCTCAGAGGTTCAAAACCCTTTAATTCCTTCCATTGCATCTTCAGATAAAGCTCAAAGTCTTTAACAAGCCCGTGGCCCTCCTCCTGGCCACCCAGCTTCCCTGGTAACCCCTCTTGTCCCACCTGGGCTCACGTTGGCCTTCTCGCAGTATGATCCCCACCGCAAGGCCACCTTCTGATGGACATGCTCTCCTCTCCCCTTCTCCATCATCCTCATCCTTCAGGTGTCAGTTCAAACCTCACTTTCTCAAGAGAGCCTTCGCTGACCTTCTCAGACTAGGCGCAGTCTCTGCTTTCCTAGCAGTTTGTACTTGGCTTTTGAAGCCCATATCACAAGAATAATACATTTTGCCCTGGCCAGTTTTGCTCAGTGGATAGAGCACCGGCCTGCGGACTGAAGGGTCCCGGGTTCGATTCTGGTCAAGGGCATGTACCTTGGTTGCGGGCACATCCCCAGTGGGAGGTGTGCAGGAGGCAGCTGATCGATGTTTCTCTCATCGATGTTTCTAACTCTCTATCCCTCTCCCTTCCTCTCTGTAAAAAAATCAATAAAATATATATATTTTTAAAAAGAGTAATATATTTTGTTGCTTATTATTTTTTAAGGTGTGTATTACATCTGAACTGCATGTTCCATGAGGACAGGGATCCTGTCTGTCTTGTTCACGGCTGCTACTCCTGCTGCTAGCACATGCCGGGCACATAAAATGACATCAACAACAGTTACTGGATGAATGGATATTAGCACCATCGTTCACTACCTGATGTCAGGTAGTTCAATACTTTGTACCATCCAGATGGTTCTGTCTTGAGAATGCCAGGATGGAGTTTTTTTGCTTTGCTATTGAAACCAGTACATTTATAGTTTTTGGCCACATGTGCTACGAGATCACCAAAACGCACATGAAGTGGTGGCAGTGGCATTCCATCGTCCCACCATAAAACAACATCAGTCCTTCTATTGTTTCAGTCGTTAAACTCCTCCCATGTGGTCCAAAAGGGACCAACTTCATATTGGACTTCACATCATGGTGAATAGTTGTATGATGTAATGCAAAGCATGGAAACCCAAGAGTGCACCGACTCAGGGAAGCCCAACCGGAAGACAGCAGCTCTTAATACCTGCTCCTCCTTTACACCTGTCTGTCTATCGGTGTCACATGTCACCTTGTGCCATGTCATGTTCTATACATGGGCCACCCTGAGGAGGAGTGGGATTTCTAGAGGGAGAGGTTGGCAAGGCACCTCATTTGTTTGCAGCACATGACAATCTGCATCTGCTTGGTGAGGTGGATTTATGAAGTGTGTTATCTCGTTTAATCTAAACTTACTTTCACAAATGCTTAAGTGGCTAAAAGATCACTGCAAATAAATCAAGAATTGAAGATTATTCTTTTTAGTACAAGCTCCTCCTTGGCTGCATTAGAGCTTATAAGAGTAATATAATTAATATATATATTTTATTGATTTTTTACAGAGAGGAAGGGAGAGAGATTGAGAGTTAGAAACATCGATGAGAGAGAAACATCGATCAGCTGCCTCCTGCACATCTCCCACTGGGGATGTGCCCGCAACCCAGGTACATGCCCTTGACCGGAATCGAACCTGGAACCCTTCAGTCCGCAGGCCGATGCTCTATCCACTGAGCCAAACCGGTCTCGGCGATAATTAAATGCAAAGTTTAATCTACCAAAAGTTGGAATTATTGAGATTTGAAATGTGGATTTATATCAATTTTATTGATCAATAAATGCTTTAAATGTATATTGGGCCTTGAGATATTATCTAATGACAATATTTAGCCAATGTAATTAGCAAGACATTTTTAGGAAATGTTTATCATTAACTCTAACTTCGAAAATTTCTATTTTTGTGTGTTTTATTATACATGCATAATATATTAGTATACGTGTCAACAGCTCATACATGATTAAATTACATTTAGGAGTGCCTGCTCATAAAAATTTACTGAAAGTGGAATATGATCAAAAGTGTCTGCAAGCAGTGTGCTTCTGAATGAACAGGGGCCTGACTTCAGATCCCTGTGTTCTCTCTTACTATTTGTGTGGCGTGAGGCATGCCACTTAACCTCTCCAACTATCGTTTTTGTAAAATGTGGGGGGGGGGGGGGCTCACTTAAAATATGGCTGTGAGGATTAAATGGAAGAATATGGCCGAGACCCTCCCTGAGCATAGAGCCTGCCGCCCAGTAGGCATTCAGTAGCAGGTCCCTGTCAATGCTCAGTGTGTATTTATTCACTGATACTGCGCCTCTGCACACAGTACTTAGTTCCTGCTGTAATAGCCACCCCATCCCTTTCTATGGTTTTTAAAATACATTCTTATTTATTTCAGAGAGGAAGGTAGAGGGAGAGAGAGAGATAGAAACCTCAATGATGAGAGAGAATCATTGACTGGATGCCTCCTGCACGCCCTCTACTGGGGACGGAGCCCACAACCCAGGCATGTGCCTTGACCAAGAATCGAACTGTGACTTCCTGATTCGTAAGTCAGTGCTTAACCACTGAGCCACGCTGGCTGGGCCCCATCCCTTTCTTGACCTAACTTCCATTTATCTAGTAAGATTCTGCTCTGAATCCACCTCCTTTAGGAAACCTTCCGGTAAGTTCCTCCCTTCCCCAGGCTGGGTAAGGAAGGTGCCACTCTCTGATACACTGAAGGCGTCTGCTTACTTGTCTGTCTTCCCCTTGAGACTACAAATTCCTTGAGTCCTTGAGGAGAGACTAGAATCCACTTATCGGTGTACCTTCTGCATCCTCAATGTCTGGTCGAAAGCAGATGCTCAAAAGAAAAATGTCTGTCAGCTGAATGAGCAGATGACAGAGTGTTGACCCAGGCTGACCGCACCATGATCTAAAGACCCAGAGCCGGCCTTCGGCACAGGGTGCTGCTCGTCTGCCCCTCACGGCGCGTTGGCATGCACTGACCACACCAAGTCTGCCATTCCACAGGCTGGCACAAAAGCGCCCATGTCCACACCCAGTCTCTCCTGAAAACTACCATTCCTTTTTTTATTTCAAGTGTGCCATTATATTTAAGTCAGCAATGTTGTCTTAAATTTAAAAAAAAAAAAGATATCTCACCCTTTACCCAAATTTAAAATCTTTTTAGGGAGAAGCGTGTGGTTGATGAGAGCTTACCCACACCTGCCAGCCGCTATGCAGGCCAAAAGTCCTTTGTGCCAAGTACGACTGAGAATCACCCAACCAGCCCAAGAGGAGGTTTCTGGCAGAATATACTAGTAAGTACATGCACAGTGTGTACGCTGTAAGTACCAACGTTTATAAGTAGGGTTTGTGGGAATTTAACATCTTTTTTATTAAAAATATCAACATTCCCATTTTAAATTGAAGGTTGGGGGAACATTATTCTATTTTGCTAACTATTTCTTTCCATAAGGGACTTTATTATTAAGGATAGGGATATTTTATACATCTGGCAATAAATACAATTAACTCCTTCAACAACCAGAAGCCTATTGCAGTATTTATAATACACTGGGATTCAAGTTTTAAGTCAATATTTGAATAAATCAATGTCTTGGGAGGAAAAAGCCAAACCTTATTGAAAATATTTGTATAGGTGTCTCCCAAATGCTTATGTATGAATCTCTGGGAAAAACCATAAAAATGTCTATTTGCTATTCTGGCAACTGCTATTAATTTGCTCACTGGTCAAGAATTTCAGATCACTTTTTAACATGTGTCCAATGCAGGCCCCAAGGTAGGAACACCTGATTCCTGTGTGTCTGTGGATGAAAGGATATGGAGTTAGGGACGTCCTTCCTGCCACAATGGAAAGAACCACACCTGTCATGGTCCCTGGAGCAGGGCTGACTCTTTCTAGCCCCATGGTCTCAGTGGCTGAGGTCTGGGGAAGTAGCTGCCTAGTGTTCTGGTTCCCACTGGAAGTGAGGAACCTGCTTTTTAAAAGAAACAATGTTATAGCTCGGTGTTTGACCCACAGGTCAGTAAAGAGGCATTGAGTGAATTGTTGAAGAAATCCTATATAATAAAAGCCTAATATGCTAAGTGACTGGTCATCTGTTCAACCAATCAAAGCATAATATGCTAATGATATGCTAAGGCTGCTCAACTGCTCGCTATGATGTGCACTGACCACCAGGGGGCAGACGCTTTGACTGGTAAATTAGCTTGCTGCTGGGGTCCGGCCGATTGGGACTGTGATTGGGACTGAGTGAGATGGGCCAGACACACCCTGGAGCCCTCCCGTGGTCCCTCCCCGGCTGGCCAACTTCCCGTGTCCCTCCCTGGCCTGTACCATGCACTGGTGGGGTCCCTTGGCCTGGCCTGCACCCTCTTGCAATAGGGACCTCTCAGGGGATGTCGGAGAGCCAGATTTGGCCCGATAGCGGAACAACCGTTCACTATGATGTGCACTGACCACCAGGGGGGAGACGCTCAATGCAGAAGTTGCCCCCTGGTGGTCAGTGTGCTTCCACAAGGGGAGCACTGCTCAGCCAGAAGCTGGGCTCATGGCTGGCGAGAGCCTCTCGCATCTCCACAGCAGTGCTAAGGATGTCGGACTGATGGCTTACGCAGCCTAAGCCATCAGTCGGACATCCCCCAAGGTCTCCTGGACTGCAAGAGGGTGCAGGACGGGTTGAGGGACTCCCCCTAGCCCCTCCGAGTGCACAAAGTTCATGCACTGGGTCTCTAGTGAAGACTATAAAATGAGATCAAGGCAGAGCATGGAGACAGTTTCAGGGAGCTTCAGCACAGGTGGAAAATGGGGTCCTTAGGTGAGGGGTTTCCAGAGAAAGGGAAAGGAGGGAAGGAGGGAGCAATTATAGCTCACAGAGAGCATAGTTTTATTTATTTTTAAATCTCCACTCAAGGATATTTTTTCCCATTGATTTTTAGAGAGAGTGGAAGGAAGGGGGAGAGACACAGAGAGAGAAACATCTATGTGAGAGAGACATGCACCCCAACCAGAGCCAGGGATGGAGCCTGCAACTAAGGTACATGTCCTTGACCGGAATTGAACCTGAACCCTTCAGTCCATGGGCCGATGCTCTATCCACTGAGCCAAACTGGTTGGAGCAGGGAGCATAGTTTTAAAAAGACATTTACCATTCATTTAATTTGTTTTAGTCAGATCATTAAGAATTCCTTTAAAAATTTAAATAACTTTAAAGAATAGCATGAAATTTTAATTTCTATCAAAAGAAGCCATACTTTTGAAGAATTTTAATTACTGCATTACTTACTACTCCTATTATTTTTTCAGGTTGGAGGAAGGTGGTAATCATAGCTGTACCCAAAACAATAAATCCTCATGCTTTCCCCACTGCATAAAAATAATAAAACTAATAGATTACATTGGCATAATTCCATCAGAAATACCAAAGTATCCTTGGGAGTGACTACCTTCTACAGGACAAGCTCCTGCTAATTTTCTTAGCATCCCTACGTGTGGTCATCCAGCTCTACCCTCCCCTGTACTATTTTCACTGTCCACTTATCTCCCCCTGTAAAGCTGCAACACTTTCCTTCCCAAATGAGTACATGGATGGATAAATACTTTCAACCATTTATAAGAATGAAACGACTACCTGTCAGTATACCTTGTTTTTATGAAAATAGTCTCCAATCTGAGAGTGGATGCCCTGCACCTGTGCTGTGGAAAAGCTGCGCCCTATGTCCATAACCACAAGCAGTCATCAGACATTTAACGCCCCGGCAAGTCTGGGGTGGGTGAGACCAGGATCAGGACTCACATTTCAGATTTCTCTTTGTTCCCTTTGCCAAGCAGAAATAAAGGTTTTCTCTTAATCCTGGTGGACTTGACAAGCACTAATTTTGACATCCACCTACTGCCTGACCTTTGAAGTGGGAGTTGGAGAAAGCACCTTTCCAGTGCGAGCCTTTGTGCCAGAGCAGTGAGAGGCCCCGTGAGGGAGGAGGACAGTGCGGTAGAGGGAGAAACACGAGCCTCCCCAGGGACCCGCCTGCGGCCTCCTGGATCTCTCAGAACGCGGAGGCCTGTGGCCGAGGCAGTATGTGTTCAGAATATGCACCTGCCTTTCCCATCAAGTGTTACAGCAAGGCCCACACATGACCATGTGACATAAAGGAGTAGGGAGAGTGGCCGATGGGGAAGGGCGACTGTACCTACCGATTGCCCTGCTTTGCTCCAAACAGTTCTCATAGACGCTGCTGCAGTCGGAGTTCCCAGGCTGCAGGGACAACAGATCGTGAGACATTTACAATCACAGCATCCGTTCCTGAACTTCCCCAAAATAAACTAAGCAGGAATAACACTCCCAGCAGACTACAGCAGGCAACTTCACCTTCTGATACAGGAAGTGCCTGGCAGGTGAAAAAAGGAACCTGGGGCTTGGGGTGAGGAGTGTAGACTCCTTTCCATAGTGCGTTGTTGGGAGCTGCAGAGACGGGGTGAGGGTCGTCACAGCTGCCACCACCAGGCGCACCCTGAGGGGCACTGCTTCTGCTGGGAGGTCACATTCCAGGACTCAGGCCAAAGCTCCGCGAGAAGGTGTGATTTCCAGGACACTTGTCTAAACACCGGCCACTTGGCAAACCTCTATTTAACCGTGAATGGCAGACTGCAGCCCTACTCCGCTGGGGCTGGTGCCAGGCTCACTTTCATCCTTAAACATCTCGTGCTCGCTTCATAATGGGATGGGATCCAGGGATGCCTTCGAGAAGGGGTGTCTGTGCTTTAGGAAGATAACCCAGCCGTTTCGTGTGGGAGCGTTTGGGGGCATGAAATTAGAGATAAAGGGGCTTTCAGAATCATCCAGGCAAGTGAGGACCAGAACTTAGGAAAGGAATGGAAAAGACTGGGTATATTCAAAAGACATAGAATCCCAGGTCTCTAAGATGAGTCGATATAGGGCTCAATGTGTGAGGAAAACAAAAAACTGTAGATTATTGGAAGAGTGGCAATGCCATTCTTTAACATGAGTAAATCAGTAGAGGACTCTGGTTTGGAGTCCAGGAGAAAACGCTCAGTTCAGTCTTGATATAAACCAGCAACTTCATGCCTGTGGCATCACAGCCGAGGGAGGTAAGAGCTGGGAGAAGAGGCTGGAGGACTACACACATAGGTGTCAGGCCACAGGAGAAACCGGGCCAGGGCAGCGCATTGGAGAGCGCCTCCCTGGTGGTGAGGCAGGGGCTTGGCTTCCCAGGGGAGGGGATGCAAGAACACAAGACAGAAAAAGAAAAGATGCAACTTACTTTGGAAATGCATCAAAAATAAGATGGATGGATGGGTGGAGGATAGATGGCTACATAGGATGACAGAGCAAATATAGTAAAATGTTAATTATAGAATCTAGATGGTGAGTCGATGAGTGTTCGCCATATAATTCTTTCAACTTTTCTGTATGTTTGAAAATATTCATAATAAAATTTGGAAAGCCAAACAAAAGGAAGAAAAACAGCAACTAGAGATGTGGGATCAGTATCACACAATGGAAATGTTTTAGAAGCTAACAGACGAGGTCTAAGAAAACACAAGGCAGCCAACAGGTATCAAATGCTGGAGACAAATTCAGAATACTAGAGAAGGAAGTAGATTTAGCAATTAAACCACTGGTGACTAAAAAAAAAATAATTGGTGACTACTGTAAAAGTAATTTCTCTCAAGTTGTCAAGTGGAGTTCAGATATTAAAAGTATAGGTAAAGATAGCTGTTTTTCTTTTTTTCTAGAAGTTTGTGGGTTAAAGAAAGAGGAGGAGGTGAGACATTATTAGTTGGGTTGGAGGAGTCCAAGTTTATGTGCAGACAGAAGGGAAAGAACTGGTAGACAGAGAGAGATAGAGGTTGATGACAGAACAAGGACACAGAGTTGGTAGGATGGGTGGGTGGGATCAGGAGCCCAAGGGAAAGGCTAGCTGTGGAGATGGTAACTAAGGAAGAGAGGCAAGGAGAACGTCGGAAGACTTGGAGACGGGAGAGGGTGAAGTTGAGGATAATGTGTTGGACCGCCCTGGGGTTCCAGTGAAGTGAGATGTGAGGTCAGCTGCTGAGGCTGAGGTTGGGAATTGGAGTAAAAATGATCTACTCCAGGCCCTGTCAATGATTCACTCTCTGGCTCAGTACTGAGGAAGCTGATACTTTCTCTAAATTAGCATTTGGAAACCCACAAATTAAACTCTCTAGTGATAAGGACAGACTCACTTTGCTAGTTCCAATCATAATAAAACGTTACTTACCAAATAGCACAACTTTTCACACCGTATGGGGCAGTAAGCCATCTGTTCTGTGGCTTGAACTCTGACCCGCACGTCTGAAACACCACCCATGGGTGGCTGCTTTCCTGGTATTTCATTGTAATACTCATGATCGTCTCTCTCATCCGCATGGCCGTCAATATGGACCTCCTCACTGTAAGGCAAAAAAGAATCCCCAAGAGGCTGGGCGGGAATTCAAATGCTGTAGGGGATGCAGATGGGTCAGAACAACGCAAATCATCCTGAAAAACGCTGCATTCATGTTGTAACTTTACAGATGTGCTTAAACGATGTCAAACATCTGGATGGAAGCAACCAGATGGCTGAGTTGTTTAGATTTCCATGGACAATTAAAGTGGGATAAGCCAACCAAAGTGACAAGGGTGATGTTTTTATGTCTCCCTTCCAGCCCAGGGGGAAATATATATATATATAATCTGTCTCACTGAATGTAAGACATTTTTGTCAATGGTATATAAAAATACAAAGTTTTCCCGGGTACCTCCAGCATGCTTTGTACCATTTCACAAATGCTTTGCTCAAAGGAAATGTAGATATTGGGCAGAGGGCCTGGCCCAGTTTAGTAAATTAAGAGGAAAACAATTAAAAAGCTCTGGCCAGCTACCTTGTCTGCATAAGGCTGCAGGAGTATGTGGGATTCATAAATAAATATCAGAACCATATGTGGCAAGAGGGCAGATTGATGTAAACATGCATTGTTTTAAAAAATGAAACAGGGCAAGAAAACAAATGTACTTTCCTTCCAAATTGGAATTAGTAAAAGTTTCTTATGGAAAAGAATAAATCAAGTCCTTTTGCATTGAACCGATTCCACTGACAACACACACAGTTTTGTTGGGCTCCTTACATGTCAACACAGTGACAGCACTAAGGCTGTAAGAGCTCCCCTGGGAGAAATTCAACATCTGTACCTTCTGGTAACCATCTCTCCTTTGCTGCCCTCAACCAACTCATAAAGGGTGAGCTCCAAACAAAGTGTGTGTAGATACCCAAAATGACAAATTAGGGGGAGAGATGCATTTAAAAGTGCCCAAGAGTTTTGTTTCTCAGGTGTGAATTCTGCGAGCTAGGGGCCGCACCGCATTCACATTCCACCGGCCTGAACGCATTCAGCTTTCACTGCAGCCTTTCTGTGCCTGAGACAGAACAACCAGACCCTTGCTTGGGTCACGGTGTATGTCACCCCAGCCACCATTTAGCTGGAGCTGACCTATTTACACTGCAAACCAACAACCCAACAGGAATTCCTGCAATAGACACTTGACTCTTACTATTTTGCTCTTCTTTCTCAATGTATTTTGTTTTTACTGATATGCTAGGGCTTTGGGGTTGAACTAAATTTGAGAAATCTGTGGATGTTTATTATTTTATGATGCTACTTAATTAATTCATAGTGCTGTGTAACATCAGAGAAACATGGCTGATCCCTTCTCGCTTTTAGTTTCTTCTTTCATTTTGTTAGAAACCAAGGAAAAATATCTGGACAAATATGAATGGAAGAAAAACGGAAAATGTTACTAGTAGTTTGTACTGACACTGTGCCCATTTGTAAGAAAAAAAAAATGTACTAATTCCATTAGTCAATTTTAAAATGCCCTTTTCATTTTAAAATGAAACAAAATATAGTAAGTCAAATAATTATAGAACTGTTGGCTGACCTTTCACAGGAAGTACTCAAAGAAGGATTTTTCAAATACTGTTTAAACCGGAGCTCAAAAGCCTGCCCTATGGTAGTTATGACATCTTGGGCCATTCCGTTGCGGCATTCCAATATGTGGCAGGCTGCAAAAGGATATACAAAAAATTATAACAGATTTTCAATAAGAGAAGATTATATAAAGTCAAAATATTTCCAGAATATGGCCTGGTAATTGAATAAACAGGAGGAGGTACAATCTCTCTTCAGCTCTGAAGTGGTATAACAAGACCTCATATTTCATACGCATCCGAGAGCAGAAACATGAGGTCTGGAATTGGAGTAAATTTCAATTCCCAACCTAGCCTCTCCTAATGAGATAGTCATGAACAAAAGGCTGACACTGCATAGTCTATATCTAAATATCTCAAAACACAAATTTCGGTCTCAAGGCAGGTATTTTGGGCTCACATTTTCATAAAAGTAGGACGATTTTGACGAATACTCAAGGTCAGTGTTAGCTCTGGAATTCAATACAGGAAAGGCTTAGGACAGCAATCCGCAGGGAAGATGGGGTTTTCAGCCTTGTCCTGGCATGGGATGCCACAGAAGATTGACCAAAGGTAACTTTCCAAACCGCCCCACCCCTCTCCCCCAAAAGAGATATGAACAACTAGTGAAGACAGAGGCTTTAGAATACCCCCTCCTCTAGCCAACCCTTTGCCCTGCTGCTGCCAGTGATGGTCTGGAATCCCCATCACTGAACCCTACGGAAAAACTTCCTCCAATAAGCATCAGAACTAAGATTTTGTGAAGATGGCATTATTAGAATATATTACAAGTTTTAGTAGACACCTTCCCTGAGAAGCAGTTCCTGGGAAAGGCTAGTTTTCACAAGCAAATTAGAGAAGTCAGTCGTGAAGGGGGCCGCTGCCGGAATGCCACCAACAAAGGAGCCCATGTTCAGGGGCTGGAAATCCCTCTCCCCTCCATCAGGGGCTGGAAATCCCTTTCCCCTCCATCAGGGGCTGGAAATCCCTCTCCCCTCCATCAGGGGCTGGAAATCCCTCTCCCCTCCATCAGGAATACCACCCCAGCCTTGGTGAGAGGTCGGCGTCATGCTTAAGGCCTTGCAATATGAAGGTTTCATTGAATTTGAGGTTTCATAAGAATGGCTTAGAAAGAGTCCTAAGGATGACTCTTTCTAAGATAGAGGCAATGTCTCGTGAGAAATTTTTTAAGATATATATTGGTTAGTATAGTCGGAACAATTGAGGAAAAGCTTGATAACGGTTAAATGGGTACAAGGATGTTGTAAAAACTGTCAGCTGTTCTCTGAGAATGGGAAAGGATTGAGTGCACAGGGAATCAGGTTAGATACTGGGGAAGCATCACAGGTCCTGGGAACCCTAAAACCAACCCTGGGAGAATGAGAGAATGACTAAAGGGGACACGGGAGGAGAGGAGAGATGCCTGACTTTATGGAAGGGCTTAACTGTGTTGACGTGGAAGCCAGATTTTATGCTTTGCAATGTCTTGGAAAGAATGTTGAATTCACTTAAAGTAAGAGGCAACTCATTCACCTGTGTTTGAACTTGCAGAGTCTATAATAGTAGGTTATGGTAGAACCTACACTGGTGTTTCTTAGCGAAACGTTGATAATCATGTCAAGAAATGTCAGATGTTGCCCTAGCCATTTTGGCTCAGTGGATAGAGCAGTGATGGTGAACCTATGACACATGTGTCAGAGGTGACACGCAAACTCATTTTTTTGGTTGATTTTTCTTTGTTAAATGGCATTTAAATATATAAAATAAATATCAAAAATATAAGCCTTTGTTTTACTATGGTTGCAAATACCAAAAAATTTCTATATGTGACACGGCACCAGAGTTAAGTTAGGGTTTTTCAAAATGCTGACACACAGAGCTCAAAAGGTTCACCATCACTGGGATAGAGCATCGGCTTGCGGTCTAAAGGGTCCCGGGTTCGATTCTGGTCAAGAGCACATGCCCAGGTTGCGGGCTTGATCCCCAGTGGGGGGCATGCAGGAGGCAGTCGATGAATGACTCTCTCTCATCATTGATGTTTCTATCTCGCTCTCCCTCTCCTTTTCTCTCTGAAATCAATAAAAATATATTTTTTAAAAAGAGGAATGTCAGATAATTGTCATTTTAGATTAGTTGAACATTTACTTAAAGGATTTATGTCTCTGAATACTTCTGGAAGGGATGGGGGCAGGGTGCTATTACAAAATCAAACAACGCTCAGGTGTCAAACCCCCAAGAGTTACTGATCATTTCTTATAAAGTTGTCCCTTTAAAGAGCAACCTGGATCCTGAAGTAGACTAGGAGCTATTTACAATTTTGAAAACACAATTGAGAATATCTATAAATTTATATCCTTTCTACCAAAGGAAAACGTTTGATCTATCTTTAGACTGACATTTTATGGCCCCTTCTTTTTCTCTACAGTAGCTTCACATAGCGACCAATGAGGAAGTGTTTCAAAAATATGTTTTGATGGAATAAATTCTGATTTCTCTGAATCACATAAATAATTCTACTGTGAGAAACTGTCTCCACTTTTATTAAAATAAGACCTACAATGAGCCCCAATAGTGGGGCAGGTCCTTCCAGCATGGAGTGGTGCAAGTGACTGCATGATCTTTGGGGAATGCTCTCTCCTTCCTGGTCAGGCCTCACAGCCTCAAACCTACAAAGTGCCCTTGGAGATGTAGCCTCTAGCTGAGCCAAAAAAAAATGTGTGTTACATTGTGATTTAAAAAAAAAAAAAGTAATTCATTTGAATTTTTTTTTGTTTTTCACCTCATAAATTCTTTGTCCAATTAAACATGAAGACCAGAAATCATATGGAAATGGAGACAACAATTTTTGTAATTTTATTATTTCTTAGAATCAAGCAGATATCTAGAGATAAACATGGGGAAGATAATGAGAGAGGCAGAAAATTCAAACATAAATGAACGAATTAATGAAAGGGGGAAGGAAGGAAGGAAGGAAGGAAGGAAGGAAGGAAGGAAGGAAGGAAGGAAGGAAGGAAGGAAGGAAGGAAGGAAGGAAGGAGGAGGGAGGGAGGGAGGGAGGGAGGGAGGAGGGAGGGAGGGAGGGAGGGAGGAAGGGAGGAAGGAAAGGAGGGTGACTAAAACATGCCTCCCATGAGAGGATGAGAGAACAAGGATGGTTAAAAGAACTCTACGAAAAGATTCAGATCCAAGTTCAGGTTCCGATTACACTACAATCTGTGTGACCCCAAATAAGCTGCTCTACAGCAAGGCCCTCACCTGCTGAGGCAGGGCGCTGGGGGATCTCTGAAGTCCCTGCTGCTTTATAGGAATTGCACCCTTCCTGGGACGCAGTCCCTTACACCTCTGCGGACGGAGCAGGGCGAGCACGTGGGGCACTCAGGAATGAATGCATCAACCAACCCCACCGTGTCCTCCACCACTTCTCTTATACCGCTAACATGGTTCATGTCTCTCAACTTTTCTCGTTCTGATACGGTGAGGGTTTGGTCCTGTTCCCAGGCTAAGCCTATCAACCTAAGTGTCTGCTTCACTTTGGATAACCTTGCTGTGGCCATATTACTTTTTTGAGAAGATTAAACAGAAAGAAAGAAAACCAGTGGTGCCTGTCTCCATGAGAGAAACAGCACTGGACCAAGAGGCTGGCCTGTGCAGAAGTCCGGTGCCGCCTCAGCACTTCAGGGCACACACACGTCTTGGTGGCGCTCCTGCTGACAGGACATGCTGCTCTGTGGATATGGTCTTGGCTCTTTTTAAAGCTGGTCATGGGCCAGAATAGGGATGGGCTTTAAATCACATACAAATATGCCCACTTGCCCTAACCGGTTTGGCTCAGTGAATAGAGCATCGGCCTGCGGACTGAAAGGTCCCAGGTTCGATTCCGGTCAAGGGCATGTACCTGGGTTGCAGGCACATCCCCAGTAGGGGGTGTGCAGGAGGCAGCTGGTCGATGTTTCTCTCTCATCGATGTTTCTGGCTCTCTATCCCTCTCCCTTCCTCTCTGTAAAAAATCAATAAAATATATTTTTTAAAAAATATTAAAAAAAACACAAAAAACAAATATGCCCACTTTCCAGGGTGAGAGAGGCCTCCAAAAGCTCAGATAAGCGGCCAGTTTGGCCAAGAATTGCCCAGTCTTTAGCTAATGGAAGGAAGAAAGGCAAGCCTATAAAAAGTCCCAATTCCCAGAAAAGAATTTTCCAGTGATCTGATAACTTTGCTTGGAGGCCTGAGCTTTGATCTCCTTGACTGGAATCAGATGCAAACCTGGGTTCTTTTCACTCCACTGGCAGCCAGATAGACGCTGGGGTATCAGGTACTATATTAAGTAAAATTTAAAAGAATCTTAGGTTCATTTTCTTTTGTCTTTTACTTTGGGTTTCCTAATGAGATAGTCATGAACAAAAGGCTGATGCTATTCTTCGAGGATAGCAGGGCATTCTTTCCTGATTTATATTTGTTTTTAGTACACAAGGTTTTGGAGGTTGTTTTGGGGGTTTTTTGTTGTTACTAGAAAACAAGAAATTGAAAAGTGCAGATTCTCAGATTAACCACCAGATGGTGCTGTGGGGTCGAAGCATGGAGTCCACCATCTCTACGGAAGAAACCAGCCTGCAGAAGCAAGCCAGTCAGTCCGTACTCAACTAATGTGAGCAGGGCAGTAGTGCATGTATTTTTGTAACTATAAACATAAACCTAAATAACTGGGTTAAGTTAAATTGGTTTTACTATCTTTCTTTCTTTAACTTTCTTCAGAGACTCAGAACCATGGCCTTACTATATGGGCAGGTACTCCAGGTAAACTGGGGCCTCTTCACAAACTAGATCCAGAGAAAATGTTAGCTCTCCCTGGATAAGAGGGGAAGAGACTTCCTCATTTGTGGCAATTACAGGGGCAGGTTGTATTAGTCACTAAGCAAACTCAAAACATTCTTACTGGAACTTACCTTTTCTACAGAAAAGGCCTTTTATAAAATGAGGAGCTTGCCCTAACCGGTTTGGCTCAGTGGATAGAGTGTCGGCCTGTGGACTGAAGGGTCCCAGGTTCGATTCCGGTCAAGGGCATGTACCTTGGTTGCGGGCACATTCCTGGTGGGGAG